CTCTTTCCTATTTTTCTGTTCACAAATAAAGGTTTGAAGAATACTTGGAACAAAGGAAATTGACTTCTTTTTAAATGGAGAACAACTACTTTTTGGCTTTCATCTTACTGGTTTACTTCATCGTTTTGATTGCTTTGCTTACACATTTCCTGTTATAAGGATGTACTAGTATAGTGATACCTTGGTTCTTGAACAGAATCCATTTCAGAAGCCCGTTCAGCTTCTGAAATGTTCAAAAACCGAGGGGCTGCTTCCCATTGGTTGCACTCAGCAGAAGCCATGTCGCACGTTTGGGTTCCGAAAAATGTTTGAATACAGAAGCATTTACTTCTGGGTTTTTAGCGCTCAAAAACTGAAACGTACAATAACGGAGGCGTTCAGGAACCGAGGTACCACTGTACTTTAATAACCCTTGACCTTAGGAAGGACTGATATCAGTCTGCTTCAGTTTGATTTGCTCCTAAAGAAGATCAAATATTTCGGAGCATGTTGAGCATCTTTACCTTGGGCAGTCTTGCTGCAGAAACCTATGTAAAGCTACAAAAGAATTTATACCAGGTGAGATTTTTTGCTTATCTTATCCACTGTTGTCTGCTCTGACAACTGATCTCCAAATTCTCAGGCAAAGGGACTTTCCTATCAACTACTACTTCATCTGTTTCACTGGAGATACCATGGATTGAAACTGGGACCTACTGCATGTAGAACACATACACATGCTGCACCACTGAGCTATGTTAACTCCTCTTTCTGTATGTCCCAGCACTGTTTACTCTTACAGCAGTTTTCTAGGGTCTCACACCATAGGACTTTTGCATCCCAACCCTTTTAAATGGAGTCTAGGGATTTGGTTTGCATTTAACAGTGACTCTATCAAATTACACACTTTCCAAAACAATATGAGAAATGAAACCCAGCTACCTCTTTGAAATTTGCACTAATCTGAATTTTCCAATGAAGTTATCCAACCAAATGGTTACAAAAAAATACATTTGCAGGTGTAGTGAAGCTCTGTGTGGAGCAGCAGGTGGTGAATAACAACAAAAGCCACAAATTTGGGCATGGATCCCTTAATCACCCAGCCTGCCTACTGGGTGATCTGTTGTTAGCTGACAGATGGGGATTGGCTGATGTCGGGATCCCCCATGGCATGAACCACTTCATGTGGTTCTTGTGGCATTAGGCCAGTAATAGAGGGCTCTGTGGCCTGTTAGCCTGACTAGGTTTCTGGATAGAAAGTGCTGCCCAGCAGAATCCTTTAAGTGGAACCTCCTATTGGATGGGACTGGGTGCCCCTTCCTCGTAAGGATCCAGCCAGATGTTCCAATATGCCACCCTCCAGGGAGCCCAGTGCAGCTGCTGATTGGCTCCCTGAAGTCTCCATGTCCTTTGGCCTCCTACACAGCTGCAAAGCACATGAAGCATTTCACAGCTGTGCAGGAGACCTAAGATGCCAATTGTTCCTCTCTCCCCTGCTGCACCAGGCCACAAAATGGGCCTCCCTGATAAATTGGGGAATTTAGGAATGTTGGGGGAAAATATGTATAAAAATAAATATATATTTGGTGAAATTGCTTGCAAATATGTGTACATTATTCAAAAGGTGTACAAAAATGTGTTCATTAGGAGAAATTGGCACTAAATTGTAGGTTATTTTTTATGAGATTTTTTTTTAAAAAATTGCAGGTTGCTGCAGAATTGTGGAGAATTGAATTTAAGGCTAGAAAAATGAGAAACTAAGAAAATAGATTGACATATCTTTGCATCCCTAATTGAGACACCAGATTTGAACCTGGAACTTACTGCATTCCCAGCACGTGCTCTATCACAGACATATGAACCATCCTCATTGACATTACAGTATAACAAACTAATAATAATATCCTTCGCCCTTATTTTTAGAAATAATTCCCACCCCCTGCTCAGCATACTAAGTGTTCTCTAGGGCATTGTTAAGAAGGACGCAGCTGTAAGCTGTGATGTGAGGAGCCACTTTCATATGGAAAGGAACAAAAATATTGTGTGTGTAGAAAAGACTGGTTGGGCTTTATAATGCATTGTTTTTCACACTATGTTTTCACTATTGCAGGTGCTGTACATTGTTAATTCAGTACAAGTTTTCTAAAGAAATCACATACACAGTAGGCTGCACAGCCAGCATTAACTGGGCAAACTAGACATAAATTGCTTTTAAATTACAATTGGCTTTAAAGTCCATCCTGTATTGCAGTGTTTCCCAAGTTTGGATCTCCAGCTGTTTTGGGACTACAATTCCTATCATCCCTGACCACTGGTCTTGCTTGCTGGGGATGATGGGAGTTGTAGTCCAAAACAGTTGGAGACCCAAGTTTGGGAAACACTGCTGTATTGGACCCCTTCAGAAAAAAACAAACAAACTAGTACTAAACCAACTTCATGATGACTGCAGAAATCTGCTTACTGTAATTTGAATCCTTACTTGAACACCCTGTGTGTGTTTCTGAGTGATGATAAATTCCCGAATTTTGACTTATGATATAGGATCATAGTTTGTAGGGGTCTAACTGCAAAATCAGCAAATACAAACATTAAGCAAATAAATAAATTGAATAGCAGATGAGGAAAAGATGTGGCTATCCCATTCATCCTGGATGCACTATTATTACACTTCACAATATACCGTATTTTTCGCCTTATAGGACGCACTTTTTCCCCTCCAAAAATGAAGGGGAAATCTGTGTGCGTCCTATGGGGCGAATACAGGCTTTCGCTGAAGCTTGGAGAGCGAGAGGGGTCAGTGCACACCGACCCCTCTCGCTCTCCAGGCTTCAGGAAGCTATCAGCAAGCCTGGGGAGCCTGTGGGAGTTCCCGCAGGGCTCCCTAGGCTGCGGATAGCAGCCTGCCGCCCAGCGCACGGGGCGCCCTGAAGCAGAGCGCCCCTCGCGCCGGGCAGACATCCGCAGCGTGGGGAGCCCTGCGGGAGTTCCTGCAGGGCTCCCTAGGCTGCGGATAGCAGCCTGCTGCATGGAGCGCGGGGTGCGCTGAAGCAGAGCGCCCCGCGCTTCGGGCAAACATCGGCCAGCCCCACAAGCTCGGGGGACAGCGGGGAGGCGCAGCGCCGCCATCCCGCTGTTCCCCGACCTGGTTTTGGGGGGGAAATAAAGGAAAAAAATTTTTCCTTTATTTTCCCCCCAAAAAACTAGGTGCGTCCTATGGGATGGAGCGTCCTATGGGACGAAAAATACGATATAAACTAGAATCTCTTTGCAGTGTAAATGATCTGCATGATCACATATCTACATGCTGTTAATTCCATGTTAAGCCCTTGAAAGACAAAGACAAATCTAAAGCCTCTTTATAAGAAGCCATGTTATTTGTTCTTGAAAGTTACTGCTTCCTATTAGAATTAGGACCTTGAAGGATATTCTCTGTAGGAATATCCTTGAAGTAAAGACTTACTCTACAGAAACTTAAATATGCTCTCTACTGCAGACCCAACAGTGAGTTTGTTGCTGAAATAAACTCCCAAACACCTCAAGAGTCCCAATCCTTGTATCCTAGAGAGGAGAGCCCCCAACAGTGGCAGACTTCGGGCTTTAAAATTTCAGCGGCATCCTGTGCAGTACCAAAATTCAGCACACACACCCCACCTCTCTCCTTCTGTTGTTCATCACTGTTGCAGTATCCCCTGCAGTGCCCTCTTGGTGCCCAGTGCAGGTGAGCCAATAGGAACGCCCCCCCAAGTCCCCCTAGAGAGCTCAGTTGCTTAGAGTAAGGTGTTGATAACCTTCACAAATTATTGGAGAGCCGGCAGAGGAAAACTGGGTTTCTCCATTTTGCCAGAAAAGCTGATCAAGAAGTGTATATTGAGCGCCACGTAAGAAAATAGTACATTTGTCCTTGATAACTGTGATAAGTTCATCTGCTTGGTAATAAAGTAAAATTATTATTATTACTGAATATGCTCACTAATTTGTGGGATCTGTGTTTAAATATTGGTTACTTAAGTAAGTCTTGAATTAGACTGAGCTCACTGCTGTACATTCTACTAGATTTCAGCAAGCACCACTTTCGTATTCACAAGCACAGATAAAAAATTTGAACAGAGGAATAACTTCTATAAGAGCCATTTCTGTGGCCCAAGGCATAAAGGACAGAATGACCATAGAAAATAATAATTCTATGTTCCTCGGAGGTATAGCAAAATTCTGCTTGTGGATGTCATTGTCTTGAATGGAGTTGTTCTTGTTCATTACTGCATTGACTCTGGACTCATCAGAACCAGGAAGCAGTGACCATAAAGAATAACAACTTGCCATGGAATCAGTGGTAGCATGGTTTACCAGTGCCCAGGGCACACGCTGTGCTGGGAAGATGTGGTGCGGAGGGTGAATGGAGCTCACCATACCAGCCCAGCCCTTGCTGCCGCTGCTGGAGCAACCCCCTACCAGAGTCAAGTGAGGCTGTGCTGCGCCTCCTGCCTGCCCATGCAGAGGGGAGCCCAGCTGGCTAACAGGGCACTTGGTGGATGACTCCCCCAACACCAGACAAAACTGCTTTTTTTGTATTCAAGATTGTTAGAAAATTTAGATATGGCATTCATTTGTTAGAGGCAGACCAAGTCAGGCCCATTGACTGTGGTGTCCGTGGTCCAGGTGAAACATAACTCTTATATAACCATATATTTGCTGTTCAACTGCAGATTTCTTTGGCTTGCACTAGATCAAAGATAGCAGATAAGGAGGAGACAAACAGACCAGCATCACTGTTTTTTCTCATTAACTCACTTTTCAGTGCAAACACAAAATAATCAAGCAGCACCTGATGTGCCATAGACTTTGGAGAGGCAGAGGAACAGATTTGGAGCTAATAATGAATAGTGTATATGCATGCCAAACTACTTAATGAGCTATGCTTAACTTCCACATTAAGGTGGTCACTAGCAACACATTTAGGTCTACCTACTACACACTAATAAATAATGATTCAGATTTTTTCTAAGGAAATTTTAAGCCAAGGAAATAAAATTGAAGTTTCATACAATATTTGCTTCACAGCCTTTGTAGTGTATAGTCATTTGGCTCCCGGAACAAATTTACCTTCTTTTGTGAAAAAAAATCAAAGTAATGCTCTTATTATATGCTCTGCTATGACCTTTGATGATTTGCCTTGCATAGCCCAGTTGGTAGAGTCATGAAACTAGATCCTGAGATGACTGTAGGAATAATCTTATTTTAATCTGTGGCTATCCATGGCCATAGAATACTTGGTCTTCCTTTTTGAAAGCACCGTTTTGCATAGTTAATAGTTATAATTTTCTCCTATGCTAACCTGCCAGTCCAATGAGCTATGCCACAAGTCATAACCAGGTTTGCAAGATTAAGATGGACTCATTTGCATATAACAGGAAGTTAACTTTAGCAGTGTTTAGTTTAAGAGGATGAAAAGATATTGAGGCCAAATATTTGGGAAGATGAGCAAAGTATAAATTAAATAAAGTGGGTGCAAGTACATATCTTTGACTTGTTCCATGTGTGGAAGAAAGTACTAAAATAGATTACCACTGTTACTACAACACAGGCAATTACCCACTTACATGGGAGTTACATTCTGGGGGCCTTGTGTGCATAAAGAAAAAGTACATAAGTGAGGAGAAGCCTCTAAAACTAGGGTGATTTAAGAGGCACCAGAAGTACCTTTTTCTTTCATACCTTTGCCTCTAGATTGCAGGAAAGGGCAGGGAACAGTGTGTCCGAGCCCACTGCAATACAGCTTTGCACCCAACAGCTGTTGAATAGGGTTGTGTGGCAGCAGTGAGAGCCCCTGCACACCATTTTGGAATCCACAATTTCCTTTTTTAAAAAGCCTTTTAAACCTTTATTTATGGAATTTGGTTCATTGACATCCCCTTTAGGCTCTGGGAAGGGTCTCCTCGCGAGCCACGAGGACTTTCCAGCTCTCCCACCATTTCCAGGTTTGAATTGAATTATTTATTTATTTCCCAGTACTACACATATCTGCGATCACACATGAGTTGATCGCACTTTAAGTGAGGGTATGTCTGTATAGTTAGGTTGATGTGCTTTGATATAAGCTTGGATCAACAGCAACCGTCTCTTAAACATAGTAGTCTAATTCAGTTTGCTCTATAATCTCTGGCAGTAAATAAGACCAAAGGTTGCTTTTAAATCAGTGCAGGCTGTCTTCCTTTGGTTTTGTTTTATTACTCTGCCAAGTATAACAGTACTAGGCAGCGATCTTGTTTAGAGTGACCTGATGTAAACACCATTTACTTTCACCCAAAGTTATTATGGTCACTAATGCAGGCATTATGTTTTATTGCATGGAAAGCTGGCACAAACGTTTCCTGTAATAGATCTTACACACACAGGGCAGTAATTATTAGGGTCCTCTTTGGGGTGTCTGGATTCATCTTGCAAACTTCAGACTATAGTTTTCAGATCACTATGAGAAATTATGTTGGACTAGATGGGCCATTGGCCTGATCCAACAGGCTCTTATGCTGGCAGCGATACCTTTTCCAAAGAACAGTTCCTCAGGAGATCACAGATAGATGTGACTGATCACAGAACATCATGTGTTGCCAGATAACCTACCTTCTTTCCTGATGTACTGAATGGCTGTTAAACAGAATAAAGGGTAAATGTGTGTGTGGTTAACGAATAGAAATTACAGTGAAATTTTACCCACCTGTGCAGTGTGTGAAATGGCTGGCTTATTGAAAGCAGTTTTTCATCTAAGCCTTTAAACCATATCACTTGGGTATCTCCCCATGGCTCTGTTCAGCATCTGAATGTAGAAACAGCCTGCGAGGTAATAGTTTGGTTTTACTGAGACCTAGTTAATTGAAATATGACTCATTACCACCTGAGCTTTGACTTGGAATTGCAGGGGAGAAATTTAATGACAGAGATAGCTTTTGAGCTGTGGGTTCTGTTTTGCAGGCTTTAATGAGATACGTAATTGTTCCTAATCAGATATCTTTTCCACCAGTATTTGCTTTAGAGCTGTTTCATTTCCCCCTATAAAAAAGGCAATCACCCATTCCTTCCATCAAAGTAAAAATAAATAAATGATTATTTCTAAAGAATGATAATAAAAAAGCCCAAGCCTATTCTTTCTCAGTGGTAATATTTAGACATTTGGCTTCTTCCTCCAAAAAACTGCCTTCACTCTGTCATGAAGAACAGCAAATTTATAAACTGAAAAATATATCAATAACCAGAGTTAATAAATTGAAGATGCCAATGTTTAAAAACATATCTGAATAATAGCTAGCTATTTGAGGTTTATTCCAGTATTGCAAAGAGAGAGACAGTGGGGCTGCTTTCCTGGGAAATGTTTCTGAGGTAATTTGCTTGGTTAAAGTAAGTCACAAAAATGTACTGGCTTAGATATATATGTAACACACAAGCAAGTACCAATATGGATGCATACACGGAGGACCACGAAGTTGCTGTTTTTGTTTTACTAACCTTTAGCAATTTCTTTGCCGACTCCCTCACCTTCATTCTGAATATCCCTTAAATCGGTGACTTCAAAACTTTCAACCTGTGCTTTAAGACTGAAAGATGCCACCAGACTCCTTAATAAAAATGTCTTGCCGCCTTTAAAAAAATGCTTTACTTGCCTAGTTAAAATATGCAGTTTTCAACATTTTTTTTTTTTGTTTATAGTAATTATACCCCACCCTTTAGCCAAAAAGGGTCTCAGAGCAGATTTCAAATAGCTTTCGAACCAGCATTCAAATAGCTATTGTTGAATTGTTTCTCCACTTGGAAACAGTATTCCATGCAAGTGTAGAAGAAAGACACACTTTACAATTATTTGATGGAAGCCTAGCTATGTGAGTAAATCAGGCTAGTTTTACATGCAATGAACCACCTATAGTAGTAGGTGGTCCTGTGAATTCATTGCTCTGCTCCTTCCTTTTCTAAGATTCAGCCACCTACCTTTCCATCTTGCTCCTGCCATTCTCTTTGGTTACTGTCATGCTATGATGAAGTTAACACCTCTCCTTTCCCCCTTCCCCAGGTCTGAGGGCAGCCTTTCTAAGTTCACACACCGGTTATCAATTAAACAGAAGCAGGAGAAGAGAAGGAAAGCTGAGTATGCCTCGGCTGAGCTGTCTGCTTTCCGTCCCAGATCTCTGAGCATTGAATGGTAAGAGATGCAGTGTTGGGCTCAGGACAGAACAAAATCATACCCCATGCATTGCCACACTTTGACCTTTTTGCTGTCACACTTTTCCATGCCAGGGAGAAACCAGCACATTTAAAGCAAATTGAGTTAAAACTGTTGGCCCATATAAGAATCCATCTGAGGGCAAGTCACATTTAAAACAGCAGGCATCCTTGATGCATTTGCAACAGTGATCCTAGTGAAGATCAGAGATGCACCTAGTGTGCAGAGATGCATTTCTCCAAATACATATGTGCCTTGGCCAGTAGTGTCCCAGGGTGTTAACAGGTGCATGTCTGCATTTCACATGTTCCAAAAAGGAAATACCATAGTAAACTCTGCAAACTCACTCCAAGTCAAACCACAGGACCAAGATTAACAGGCCACACAGTCAGAAGCAAGCTAAACAAAGAGTTGATTCTCAGAACTGCTTTGTAGCAGAATGCTTAATTTTTCAGTCTGTTGCTTCACATTCACAGCATGTGGATCATCTGAATCATTCATCACAAGTACAGACTGCAGTTTGGCACATGGCTGCTCAGTTCAAACTAAAAAGGTTCATGATGGCATGCCAAATTGCAATTTGTACTTGTGATGAACTGTTCAGAGGATGCACTCACCATCTTAAGATTTAGCTCATGCTGTAAAATAAAACAGCTGGCCATGTTCAAAAACTTCTTCATACAATCAAGAGTCAGAGGATATTACTGCACAGTTCATATCACATGAAAACCCTGTCTATTACAAAAAATAAAAAATCCTTAGATCCCTTAGCCACACCACCTACCAACAGCCCTACTGTGACACAGTCATTTATTTAGATGTAAAAGAGTGGTAAGCTAGAATCTGATAAGTAAATCTCTCTCAACTCACATAACCTCATCTAAATTTTACAAAGATCAAAATGGAAATCAGTTTATGAATAGTTATCCCTGGATTGTGTGGATTTTCCCAAGCTTAAAGCAAAGCTAGGCCTTGATCAAGTCCAGGATGAGGAAGAAATTCAGTGTTGGAGGGCAAAACAAAGAGGCAATGTTGTGAAGCCAGCACACAATTTGGAATAAAGTGGACAGCAAGTCATCAAGGAGGGACTCAGGACTGGAACAAAGCAAGCTCAGCAAGGCCCAAATGAGGAAGAAAGTTGTTCAGGCAGGTGAGGGTGAATGACAAGTTTCTCTCTTGTGATATTTTAGACCAGTGGCACACAGTTCCCACTGAAATGGTAACTACATCTTTATGTCTTCCCTCCCTTTCCATAGCATCTTCAAAAATCTTACCCATATCCTCACCTTCCCCAATCTTACTCCATGGCTGCCTCTTGCAGAAGACAGAGAAACATGGAATGCTATAATATCAAGTAGGGCTCGGCTGGACATTTTGGTCAGCCAAAATTTGGCCCAAATTCTTGATGTTTGAAGGGAAGCTGCAGGAAAAACAACCTCTCCCAATTTATTTATCTATTTATTATTAAATGTGTACATCTTCATCAGAAGATCACAATGCAGTTCATAACATTAAAAGTACAAAATAAGAACACAAAATACATAATGGAACAAAAACAAACCAATACCTCCCATAAACACATATTTGATTTCAAAGTTCAGGCAGTGGCAGTGGAAGCTCCAGGAGGTGGAATTTCAAGGGGGGAAGTGAAATGGAAGTGGTCTGAGGGCTCTTCCTTATTAAAAAAAAGAAAGAAATTTATTTAAGAGCCACTTGGAATGGCTCTTATCTTTAAACAAAAATGCTTCTTAAGATGGGATGGGGGAGGGAGAAGAAAACCTTTGACTACCTCATAACTGCTGAACATCAAATGGCTTTCTCTCTATGGGTGTCACCTAATAGCTCGCTCCTTTTGTAAAGAAAGGTCCAAGGAGGTTAGGGGTTTGGTGCAGCTCTAAAATCAGGACATGCATAAGTTCTATCAGTGGTTACAAACACAAAGTTAAATAGGTGTCCACTTTTCAGCAGCAGCCATATGTATAACATCTAGCTTGGCCCTTTGTAATGCCCATAATAACAACTATACTGTTAAAGATGTTGGATCTGAAGACTTCCTTAGTCCATAGGTGGCATAGGTGGCCTTTGGTTCTGTGAATGGGACAGAATTCTAGCCCTTACCCAAAGAATCCCTACTTCTTGCATGGCAAGGGAAATTTGATTTGTTCAAATGTACAATTTAGAATTTACTGTTGCAAACCTCCTTGTTAGCATGTGAGGGAGTCTCTGGAGTTAAAAGACTTTTGAGGTCTTGCTTCAGTCAGCAGAGTTATTCCTGCCTACCCTGTTAGTCCATGAATTGATCTCTAGCCTGTGCAGCTCATGGGGGAAGTAAGTGATGAGTGCTAACTTTGTAGGATAGATGTAGTGCCACCAAAACTTTTAATGAAGACACATTCTACTTTCTGAGTGAACAAGCCCAAATATTCTGCAGCGAAGGTTGACTATAAAGCAAGGGGCCTCCAATATTGCCCATCATTCATACATCACTGGATGGGGTGAAGATCTGAAAGTATATAAGGCACTGTACTGGTAGGTTCCCCAGCTATATCCAGGCTCATTATTTCCCCACCCCTTCTGCTGCCATCCTGGAAGAGCATCATTATAACTGACAGCTCATCAGAAATTTGTCATACATACCTAATTAATATAACATTATTATTATTATTATTATTATTATTATTATTATTATTATTATTATGAGATGAAGCAGTGAAGCCTTGTGGTTAGAGTACTGAGCTAAAAAAAAAGCCAGGAGTTGAAAGATTAGGAAGCCATCACCACTGGGATGTCACTTTACAAAATCTTTTAGTACATAACAAATGATATTATTGTTCTTCTCCTTCCTCTTGAGTACTCTTCTTCCCTACTGGAAGTCTGTCAATAGAGCTGCCTGGCAGCATCTTCAGACTTGTCTGGTCTGCCACTGTCTTTAATCAGTGTTTGGACAGGTGCAGGTTTCTCCATATCCAGAGTGGGAGCAAAGTGCTGCATGGAACCCCAATTCTCTTTCTCCTAAGAGGGCTCTCCAGGGTCTGGGTCAGCCATGATCCTGACAACTTTATAGGTATAGGTATGGAAACAGGGTATGGAAACAGGCGCAAGTGCAGGTTCATCTGCTGAAGGATGTGCTCTGGTTCCTCCAAATCTTTGCTGTTCAGCTGACACATGCGTTTTGTAAAATGAATACTTATATACTCTGTTTATCAGCCCCCACCACCACTTAGTTCTTCCCCACTCATCAGAGTTCCTTGTACAGCCTCTTCCATTGCGAAGCAGAACAGTTTTGATCTGAGGGAGAAGATGGTACATGTTCCCAAATGTACTAGGCGTTCACAGCTAGGTCATCAATAAAATGTGTGTGTTTGTGGTGGTAAGTTAATACAATAAATAAGGAGGTGGTTCCTATTGTAAGTTGCCCCATCTTTTCTTTAATTTCAGCCTTGTCGCTTAGCAATATTGAAATATGCACCCACATGCATATATGTAAGCAGTCCCACCCCAGTAGCTCTATAAAAGGGTCTATTCACAAATCACTTATTTTTAGTATGGTCGCCACTGGAGTCAAAGGGACTATATCAATGTAAGCAGTCTGTGACACACCTTTCAGTTAATTTTTTTCTATGGAGCCCTTCACATAAACAATTTATTCATTAAATGTTGCCCTGCTCTCTTAGGTAGATTAAGTGTGTGTCTCCTTATTCCCATATGGAAATTAAGACATATAGAGATGGAAGCTGTTAATTTTGACAGACAAAAACAATATCCAAGGCCTAGTATTCAGTGATACCGAACATGTGTGATGCCAATAAAAGCTGAGAAATTTGGCATTTCTGAGGACCTTCAAGCTCAGCATCCCCCAAACAATACCAAAATTTGCAGAGACGAGTGAGCATTCAACAAATTTAGTTGTATCTCTTCAAAATGTAATTTCAACACTGCTCCCCATGTTATAATCTTGGTAACATCTACACATGTAGCAAAAAGAGGTGGTCGAATTATGAGGTCGTAGAGTGAACTGTACCAGTGCAGTTGGGGAATGACATGGTTGCTCAGTGTTCCTCCACAAAATATTTCTAATGTGCAAGTAGAAAACTAGCACCACAGGGAGAGAGGTTGTAGCTTAACAATTTCTTTTTTATCTAGAGTTCAGCTTGCAGGGATTTTTTTCATATAGGAAAGCATTAAAAATGTGATCCACTACCAGCAGCTTCAAGTATTGAAGTATATTTCTGCTACTCTTGTTAACATTATTTCCACTTCATTCTGTTACATGTGTAAACCAGACCAAAGGCACAGGCATGCTCTTATGAATCTCAGTGTGGACAAATCATGGTGGGGTGTGTGAAAGTGAGCACATTTTGGAATGTGGGGATTCCTTGGTTTACCGAGATAAGGTATTGTGATAAGGTATTACTACTCAAATAATTCTGGTGGCCCAAAAATAGTTATTCTGAATGCAGATTTCCCAACTGGCTATCAAGCTGTTTCCAACCTACCCTTTCTGGATATGATTATTGAGTTATAACGTACCCAGCTTCAGGCATGCTTAAATGCTGAACATTTTCTGGATCCATTAAACACTGCACTTTATCAGTGACTGTCACCTTGAGAATAATATTGGTAATAGCACCCTGCTGATGTGTTAGACCTTTTTGTGACCTTTGATGCCATTGATCATGAGGTATTAGTCACTTTACTGTGGGGCCTGGCAAGAATTTGTGGGACTACTCTAGGGTTAATCTACTTGTTTCCAGCAGGGTTGTGATAAGAATTGCATATCTTCCCTGTGGAATCCCACTACAGATATATGGATCATTCTGTGCCAATTTCACATGTGTTAATTCATAAGCCTGTTCTGTCCCTCCGCTGCATTTAAGTAAAGGTAAAGGGGTTGAGTCCTGACAAGACTGAGGGTGCTGTTTTGGAGGGACGGGGTAGGTGGGTATGGGATACTCCCTGGTCCTGAATGGGGTAACTGTGCCCCTGAATGACCAGGTGTGCAACCTGGCAGTCATTTTGGACTCACAGCTATACATGGAGGCACAGATTGGACTACAGCTCCCATCATCCCTGACCACTGGTCCTGCTAGCTAGGGTTGATGGGGATTACAGTCCAACAACAGCTGGAGACCTAAGTTTGAGAAACACTGGATTATAGTGTCTGTTCCTTTGGGGCTCTGTTTATTGGATTTGAAGAGAATGCATTCTACCCAAAGTGTGCAAAGCAGAGTTCTTCTGGGAGGCATCTCCCATGCTGCAATTTTAAGTATAATAATAATAATAATAATAATAATAATCCCTACCCATCTGGATGGGTTTCCCCAGCCACTCTGAGCAGTTTACACATATATAAAACATAGTAAAACATCAAATATAAAAAACCTTCCAATACAGGGCTGCCTTCAGATGTCTTCTAAAAGTTGTGTAGTTCTTTATCTCCTTGACTTCTGAAGGGAGGGTGTTCCACAGGGAGGGCGTCACTACCGAGAAGGCCTTCTGACTGGTTCCCTGTAACTTTGTTTCTCTGAGTGAGGGAACCACCAGAAGACCCTCGGAAGAGGACATCAGTGTCCGGGCTGAACAATGAGGGTGGAGACGCTCCTTCAGGTATACTGGGCCAAGGCCGTTCAGGGCTTTAAAGGTCAGCACCAACACTTTGAATTGCGCTTGAAAACATACTGGGAGCCAGTGAAGATCTTCACTCAAGTTTTCAGATCTGGTCAAAATCTCAAGCGTCAACCCACATTTTCAAGCCTGTGCCCTGTCAAAAGTGGAACATTAAAAGGAGCTTGTCCCTCCTGGGGTACAGTGACTGTTTTATTTAGCTAGTGCAGCACAGATTTATGTACTTTGAAAAGTGAGGAAAACAGCTCCGCCCCCCTCGAAAGTTTAGCATTAACTATACAAGTCTGCCGAATTCCTCTTGTAAAAAAAAAAAAAATGGGGGGAAATGGCAGGGAGAGACTTGAAGTATTGAGAAACACTTATTTCACTCATATGATATTTACTAAAATAAGTACTTCATTATTAGACTTTTCTTAGGTGTTTTCCCCCCTAAAATCTGGTGCCACAAAGTCCTTACTGTTAGGGACATATGAATATGCTGTACCATCTCAGACTTTTGGTCCTTCCAGTGTTCTTGGATCTTGCCTTTGGCAAAGGCAGTTACTTAAATTTCCAGAGGCCAGATATTCAAGCTGGTTGCTAGATGAATGTGTAGGAAGATAGACATGGGAGAGGGGTCTGGGGTTTGTTTGTTTCTAAAAATATTGCAAAGCAAAGATGCCTAACTTTTTTTGGCCTGAAGGTTGATTAAAGGTTTGCCATCCCCCCAAAAGCTGCATGCTTTTAGGAGTGGTTTTGGCCAAGGTGGATCTGTCCACTCACATGTGCTCACAGATGCATGCATACTGATGTGTGGATTTTCAATTTTAGAGTAAGAAAAAAGTTGTAATCACTCCAGTTCATAGGGCAGGCAACCTCTTAATTTGGTCTTTCCTCCATATGGAGGAAGGGGTGTTCTGGAAATAGAGGGGCTGGATATCACCCCATTTTCATGAATAGATTATTTCCTGATGTAGTTGGGATTTATGGCACCAATTCCTCTTTGCAGGGCTCATGGACTGCTTTAGATGGTCCAACACCAGGAACTAGTGGAACCCGATGAATTCCTGAATGCTC